GTCAGTAAACAGTAGTGGTTCCACGAGGGAACCGACAGAGATCTCTGTAACAGTAACAGTAAACAGTAGGCACTAAGGATGCCACAGTACAGTTCAGAAATAAAGGACATACATTCATTCAGTAATACCAGTTCAGAAACCAGGGTACAGTTTAGTTGTTCAGAAGATAATCATTTGTGAATATATCTTTACACAATCGTTACTCATAGAGTTTGGGCTACAGTATGCTAGAGCGTCTCCTCAGTCGCCAACCCTACATAGTTAACAGATTGAACACACTAAGCTAACCAGCTGGAAAAGATAATAACTTAATCCCTAATGCCTCGGTGTGTTCTACATCTATATCCTCATTAAGATGTCTTAAACTAGGCCTAAGAACGCCTAGAATGGGATGAGGATGCAAAGATGTTGATCAAGAAAATAGCAGAATTTTCACAGTTTTCAGTAAAAACAAAGTCCCGCTCGAGCGCAGGTTTACCCGCTCGAGCGGTCATGCAACAAAGGTACACGCTCGAGCGTCAACTTTCCCGCTCGAGCGCCCTATCCTCCGCTCGAGCGGACTGTAAAACAGTGCAGAGAGATGCTGGATGCTCGGATTCCATGCTCGAGCGCCACTTACCCCGCTCGAGCGTAAGTGCAAAATCTGGGAATTCCATATTGCACCTTCAAGCTCAAACTCACATCCAAATGCATCAAAACCAATCATCTTGGGCCTATTTTCTGGAAAACATTTATAAACACATAGAATAACATGGTTCAAAGCTCAATTTGAGAAATCAAGCCCAAGGGTGGTTAATTCAAACTCAATTTCAAACCATTTTTCAAGAATATGAAGAACATGCAAACATGCATGAATTCAAACCAATTCAAAGCTTCAATTTGATGCTCTAAGGAGCCAATTGTTTCCAAAACATGATGAAATCATGGACCATTACAAAATTATGGACATGCATGTGACAATTTGCCATGAACTCAACTCAAAATCCAACAATTCAAACATGCATGCAAGAATTATGCTCTATTTCAACATGCTAGAACTAATCCATGGCTCAATTCTCAATTTTGACATGAATCATGCAAGAACAAGATAAACAAGAGGGTAATTACTTTACCTTAGGTCTCCAATGCAAGATCAGGAGCTCAATTAAGCAATCTACACTTCAATTCTCTTAAATTTCCAAGCAAAACCAAGCAAAGTGAGATGAAATCTACCTTTCAAGTCTCTCTCTCTCACTAAGGTCGGCAAGGCAAGGGAGAAGGCTGAGGAAAACGTTTTGATTCAAGTGTGCAAGGCTCTACTAGTGACTAGGTAGTGGGCCACTAAGGGTTAGTTTGGTAATTAAGTCCAAAACTTGCAATCCATCAATATTTAATCTAATTTAATCATACCTAATCAGTTTTCAGATAATTATACCACAAAATCACATTAATCATGATGATCATAAAACATCAATCACTTCCGGATTCGGCCGCCGATAAGGCCTTCAATTAGCAGTTTAAACATAAGACATGAACAGATCAAACAAACAGTCAACAGATAAAATACAATTCAAACAGATGTATTCATTCAATTCAGTTTCAATTCCGGTCAGTCAGTTCAGTACTTTTAATCAATTCAATTATCAGTCATGATCAGTTCAGTTTAACGGTAATCAGTGTTTATCGGTAGGCAGTGGTGAGGGTTATTACAATATAATATTTCAGTCAATTTAATTAGAATCGGATTGGGCAGTACATTATATATATTTATATAAAATAAAAATTTAAAAAAAAATCCCAAAATCAACATTTATTGATGGTCAATTCGATTCCACATATTTTTCTTAGAGTTGTTTCTTTTTCTTTTCTTTTTTTTATTCTGCAGAATTATATATTTATCATTAGTTTTTTTTAATATATCATGCCAAGGGTATTCTAAATCTGTTTGGTTGAATTTTCATAAGTTTAAATTTTTTAAAAATTCAAAAACTAATTTGATTAAAAAAAACTATTATTTTCAAAAAAAAATTTAAGCTAGACATTATTTTTGATAATTTAAGAATATTATTTTAATATCTATTTGCTCAGCCCAAAAATCTAATATTGAAGTTTTTGGTCCAACAGTTTACGTGTGAATTTACTTTGTCTATAAGAATATGTTTCTTAGTGCTGCTATTAACACCTACCTTTCTTCTTTGGACCCCTTATTTTTTTTTATTTTTTTAATTCCAATTTTGTCCAAACATAGAGTTACATTTTTACCCTCAACCCTAACATTAACCCTAATTTTCCAAACCCTAACCCTAACCCTAACCCTAATCCTAATTTTCCAATCCCTACGCCAACACCTAACATAACAACTTCTCTCTCTCTCTCTCTCTCTCTCTCTCTCTCTCCAACTTCCCATCGACGTAGTCGATATCCCTTGCCGTCATCGCCTCATAACTGCCTCTGTCGATCGCCACTGCCTACGACGTCATCGCTGGCTCTGGCATCGGCGATGTCCTTGCAGCCCTCCTCTTCAACACTCGCGGCGGCGGAGCTCCAACTTGCATCGCCGCAGAGGCGTTGGAGCTCGTGACGATCTGAATCAGCATGATTAGATCTGGAGCTACTCACAAGTTCTACATCAAATCTGGAGCTACGCGATCTGTACATCGGATCTGGACTCCTCCACAATTCCGTCGCCGCTAGAGTTTACAAGGTGGTCTATAAAACAGAGTGAATCGATGACTCATAAAAACAAATACGAGAGATTTATTGAGCAATGTATTGTTGTGCAGTAGATTTCTTCCATGATGCTCTTAGTGTGTGTTTGCTGCAATTTATGAAGTTCTTTGTTGTCTAAGAGATAAATAGGCTAATGATTTCACCTCAGATGTGTTTCATTATCAATTGATTTTACTTCAGATCTTGATTTCAATATAATCGTTTTCGAATCCACAATACTTGTCATGTTTGCAGATTTGAGCTAAGAGGTTGCTTTGAAGATGATGATAACGAGGAGTCAAAAAGATAAGGGGTATAATTGGTATTAAGGTGGGGGCTTAAAGAAAAAATGGAGGGGGTTCATTTTGTTAGATGGGGGTTCAAAGAAATGGGGGGGGCAAAGTAAAGAGATAGGTGCTAATAGCTGCCCTCTATGTTTTTACCAGAAGACTAAACTACCCATTTTTCATTAATACGCGTGCCTCCAAATCCCATTTTACATATTCAATATATTATCTGTTTAAATCTCATTCCTTCCAAACTCATTCTCTTCTCTCTCTCTCTCTCTCTCTTTCTCTCTCTCTCTCACACACACACATCAATCTCAGATCTGTACAAAACTCTCATTAACTATCTCAAATCTATGCAAAAGCCCCTTCTCCCTCCGATGCTGACACCTACATATTGGCTCGACCTCTTCGTAGAGCTCTTTGGCAGCTTGAAAGACGTTTGTAGCCAAAACCTCGACCGGAGCAATTCTCGTAGCGTGGCTGTTCACTTGGCACTACAAGTGTCAGTGCCGGCCTCTGGTATCCTCTGACTTTTGATGATGCTGGATGACTTGCAGATCTCCTCGAACAAGGGCATCAAGAGCTTTAACTACCTCAACAAATCACGAAATTGCCACCTGACCACGCATCTGAACCCAGAGATGGCAGAGATTTTGTTGATAATATTGATCAGCACAAATCACGAAATTGCCACCTGACCACGCATCTGAACCCAGAGATGGCAGAGATTTTGTTGATAATATTGATCAGCCTCTTCTTCAATAATGCTAAGCTATCTTCCTTCATAGTCGTACTATAATCGTAGCTATATATATATATATATATATCAATTCGAACCTGAAAATTGAGGCTAAATTGGATAATTAGAGGATATCCGCGAAATCTTGCGGATCTGAGTGAGACTACTACTCTTTTCCCTTCAAATTGATTTCAAATCTGATTGAAATCGAAGAAGAAAAGTTCGAAGAAGGGTTAGAACATCGAGACCATGCTTTGCTGATTGCGCTAATGGCGGTGGTTGTAACTCTTCTTCAAATTTTTTGTGTATCTGCTTTATTTCTCATCCAAACTCTAAACATGTTTCTTTTAATTTATTCAGATCTGTGTGTATGAGGTCCAACTCTCAGATTGACTTAAAAAACTAGCTGATCTCACTCTCTCCCAGATCTGTTTCAATAGATCAGATCATAGTTGGTTTCAATAGATCATTGTTGGTACAAATTGAACAGGTAAGAAAAAATTTAGGCAGACAAAAATTGAACAGATAAATTTTGGACAAATAAAAATTTAAACAAATAGAAAATAATCTGAGGCAACTCTCAGATTGACTTCAAAAACGGCTGATCTCACTCTCTTCCAGATCTGTTTCAATAGATCAGATCATAGTTGGTTTTAATAAATCATTGTTGGTGCAAATTGAACAGGTAAGAAAAAATTTAGGCAGATGAAAATTGAACAGATAAATTTTGGACAAATAAAAATTTGAAGAAATAGAAAATAATTTGAACATATAGATATAAATTTGAATATATAGTAAAAAAAAGTCAATAGATAAATTAAGAGGTAAAATTGAAAATAAAATATCCTTCAAAACAAATAAAATGACTTATCACTAAACTATTTCACAATGGTAGATCTCTTACCAATAAAGAAATATTCACTGAACATAATGCCTTACACTCTCCTTAAGTTAGACTTTTCAACAATTATTTTTATTTATTTTTGTCAAATTAATTTCCATTTTTTTTTAAAAGTGAAAACTCAACTCAACTCCAGCAATTGTGATTGGCAGTGGAAAACACTCTCAGATCAGTTTGACTATCCTCAAATCATCCTGGTCGTCCATTTCAAGGGTGAAGCCTTTTTCATGAGTAGCCTATTGCCAGAGAAGTTTTGGCTTGTGTCACAAGAAAATACAGCCGTCCAAAGCACGACCGATACAGAACGTTGTCGTGGTAAGAGCAATTCTTACTCTGGTAATAGTATTTCTTTACCTATAAAATCACGATTTGGGGGATGCAGAGCAATCCCTAACACATTTTGGCGGGAAAACACTGCGATTTGAACTCTTCGAGAATACTTTATCTCTCCACTCTATCTATCTTGGAAGGCGATTTTGAAGATGGAAGGCAGTGAAAGCGAAACGATTTTCGATTCGCTGAACCTAAATCCTCAGCTTTTCATCAACGAGATCCTCAATAATGTTGATGATCAGCTCGATGGGGCTTTAGACTTCTTTCATCAGTCTCTCTCTCTCTCTCTCTCTAGTTGTAAATATGTTGTGTAATTAACTGAATTTTCTTATGAAATTTCTGAATTGTGCTCTGCTTATGGTTCTTTACAGGCAGGCCTCGACGATGCTGAAAATTGAGGGCACCGACAGGTCCGACGATCTAAGCAAAGTAAGTAGGGTTAATTTCACTTTTATTCCCTAAATTATCACCGTTAAACTACCAATTTCATCTATATAGTCTTTAAAGTGTTTGATTTCAGTTCATGTCGACGAATTGTACAAATCAGTAATCGATGAAGCCTAATTTTGTAGTGAAAAAGTTAATTTCAAAATTTGAACAGTTTAGCTATATAACAAAACACCCATCAAATTGGTTGTGGGGTATTGTTTGTTCAAAATAGTAAGACAGTTGAGTGTTTGATTGTATTTTGATATGACCATTTTATCTATCAAATCAAGTTTCAACAGTTAGTGATTTGTAGAATTGTTTTCAATTGGACCATGTGAATTGAAATAGAAAAACATTATGGGTAGAGAGAATGATTTGACAACTTGTAATGGCTACTTTAGGGGATAGAAATAAAATTAGCCTAAGTAAACTCTCATCCTTCTTTTGGGTTTTCTTTTTTGATTAATTGCCTTTGTTGCTTTCTAAGATAGATTGGGTTTGTTTGTCTACTCTAGTTCTACTTTCATTGTACATATGATTCTATAATGTTTACTTAATAGGGTGTTTCCGACATTGGGAACATGATTCGGTCGGCCCTGGATAAGAGGCTGAGCATGTGGGAGAAGTATTGTCTACGGCACTGTTTCGTTGTTCCAGAAGGATTTTCACTGCCCAAAGCTGTAAGTTTTATGCATTGAATAGATGTGAAGTTATTTGTTTGCTTATTCCATTAAATGCTCTGTTCATGTATCTCTATCTATATATTGCACGAGATAGCATCAAATTATGCCTTTTGTAACGATTGGGATCAATACACCCTTCAATGAATTTTCTTACTTCTTTTTCATCGGCCCTGCCATCAATTCATGTCTCATCTTACACTTAACATGCATGCCAAATGCCAAGTTAGTCTGAATTCAAGAGCTGTCCCATTCAATTCAAACTCCAAATTACGTTTGATAGGAAAATGCTATATAGATTGGTTTTTCTCATTATATTTTTCACCTATATAAATCACCTGCGTGTATGTATGAGAGTGCAATCAACGGTAGAGTCTTTATTTTCCTTTTGCTTTGAATTTCTTTTTATTATGTTTATAGCTAAAATGTCCATTGGAAAATGCTCTGTAGAATGGATCAGATGGTGATAGTTTGATGGATCTAGAGATTCTCCATGATCGAGATTTGGATGTGCAGTTGGATTCCTTGAGGAATAAGCTTGTGTTGGTAATACAGATCCTACTATCTGCAAGAGCTTCGTCCTGTTTTTGTCAATTTATTCTTTGTTTCTATTTGGATTTCTTTTAAAGTTTAATTCACTACCCAGGTTGGAAAGGAGACTGCTGAGTTGAACAGAGAACTCCGTGCATTGGAAAGACAGTCTGTTTTAAGCAATCATTGTGCTGGATCTGTTAACGAGGCATTACAGTTATATGAGCAACACAATGTGCATGGCATGTTCCAAGGTAATTGAACAAGCCATCAAATGTGTATTTGATTTGAAAAGCACTTTATCAGCAACATCAATGCTAGGCAAGCCATCTATCTTATGCTGTTGGGATAAAATCTTTGCATAACATGATCAACCTTAGCCTTAGTATTAATTATAGCAGCAACAATGCTATGCCTATATAGACACCAACAAATTTGTATATATAACCATGCTTATGGAGGTCTAAATTTTACTTCATGGTGAATCCTGCACATTGCATGGGTCTCCACCTTATAATTGATAATTATACTTGTTTAAGTAGGCTAGTTTACCAATCTAAAAAAAAGTAGGCTAGTTTATAGGTTTTTGAGTGAGTTAATTAAATTGAAACTTTTGGTCCTAATCAATTTAAGCAAATTGCTTATCCGTTTCACATCATCTACAAACTATTGCACTACCCCATTCTAGAATCGTTTCCTGGTCTGTACTGTGCTTGTGTTGGTTCTTTGAAGATGAGTTCTAATGCAGTAAAAGTGCAATATCAATTGCAATTACAGTTTTGAGAACCATTAGAAAGAGAAAATTGTATGGTAAAGTACTCGTGTGATCGCTGTTGATAGTTTGTTTGCGCTGTAATTTCTCAAATGATAAATCTTTTTATACCTCATTACTTCCTACAGAGCTGACCAAAACTGCATCTGAGCTTCGTAAGAAAATGGAGCAGCTGAAGGCCAAAAGGCTGGAGCAGAATGGGCGCACTAGAACAGAGCGGATGCACATTTCAGATGGAGATCTGTTTAGGATAAATCGTGGCAATGGTACTGTCATGATCTTGCTTGGTTTAACTTTTGAAAGCTGTTTTTGAGTTTTCAATTTTTTTTTTATTTATTTATTTTTAATGAACCTTTTTTTCTTCTTCATTTCCCCCCACTTTTTAGGTGCACACCTCAAAAATAAAATATTTTTGAAGAAATCTTTACAAAGTTCATTAAAAACAAAAATCCATGAAATTGTGCCCCTTTTTTGTTTTTTTTTTTCTTTAGTGAACTTTTTAAAGATTTGTTTGCAAATATTTTACTTTTTTGGTAGATTTACATTAGGTGCATCGAAAAAGTTTAAAAGAAAATAAAAAGGGTCTAAAATATGATGAAAAAAAGTTCACTAAATAAATACCAAAAAAACAAAAAACCTCAAAAACAGTTTTTAAAAAAACTAAACCAAACAATTCTTTGGGTGCAATTTTGAAGGAGACAATGCTTGCTATATAAAATTCTGTTTTTGTTTTGCAGGCCTATCCGATGCCTCATTGGAACAACTTCAAGAGTTTATAGCTCATATAAAGGATGTGTGAGCATTTGCTATTGTTTTATCAGCCCTTTCTGTATAGCCTGTTGGTGTTCTGATAACATGTAAGAGATCTCTTTCATGCCACTATTGCTATCTATTGTATTTCTTTTGCCATTTATATCATCTAGTATCATCTAGGGATAGGGATAAAAGTGTAATCTCATGTTGTATTATTCATCTGATTTGCATTGAATTTTTGGCATGTAATGATAAACAAGTTTTAGATTTAAGAGTAAAATAAGTAGATGAACCCACAGTATTTGAAATTTTATAATTTTGTCCATAAAAGGATTTCTGACTAAATTAAACACCAGAATTACATGAAACGTGAATAACAAGATTATTATTCCCTCTTTGATTTCTGCCGTCCAAACGTAGCTTGCAGTAGACGCAACCACTGTTAAATTGCGAATTGAATCGTGAATTGTTTTGTTAAAATAGTGAATCATAAAATTCACTTCATTTAGTATAATATATAATTCTATGTGTATATACATATAAATCTGTGTATATTAATATAATTAATTCTTTTTTTTTTATTTTGCAAAAACAACACTGTTTCATGAATTATAATATTATACAAACATAACTGAATCACAGCGAATCGCAAAGAATCGAAGTAAAATGTAATTGAATCATAAAATTCACTCAATTTAAGATTTAACAGTATGAATCGAATTGTTTTGGTTGAAACTCATTGAATCGTATAAATTGAATTGTGAATCGTAAGATTCTAACAACCATGACTGTTATGCTTGAAAGGATTTTATTATTGTACCCTCATACTAACATAATTTCCATATTTCACAAACCAGTCAAATTGGCAAAACTGGACAACATACAAGACCATCATAACTTTTTGAACAGATCAATTAACATTCATTTATTCACCAACATTTGCTAATGAGTTGTTTCAAACACTTCATGGACATCAAGTCCTCTTCATTAGTTCCTGTAAATGCCAATGAAATTAGTCAACCTAGACCCTGTGTACAATGCACCTCTCTGCCCTTGCACCCTATGAAGCACGGACACGGACACGCATACGGACACGGACACGGACACGGGACACGGAATTTTTAAAAAAATGGGGACACGGACACGGCTGGGGACACGGCAAATTTTTTTTTATATAAATATTTTTATTTTAATACAAGTTAATTATTTTATTTAATTATTATATTTTTAAATAAACATAATTCTATTAATTATTTTATTTTATTTTTTTTACTTTTTTTTATTTATTAATATATATAAGTATATATTATATCTTATATTTATATATTATATAAGATATAAGATATGCCTTTTTATTAATATTAAATAAATACATACATATATATATTATACCTAATATATTTTTTTACTAATATTAAATAAATAAACATATATATATATATATTAAACCTAATATTGCACCACACTCACACCCTCATTAGGATACTGCACACCAATATTCACCTGTGCCATCACTGTCCCAGCCACATTAAACTTCAGCCCCATTGGGGTTATGAGCACCGGAGCCGGCGCCTGACTTCTGACGGCGAGACCCAAAAGTCTCCTGAGGTGGTCCTCTTAGTTTTGCTTGGCTTCCAGGGAGGTTGAGGAAGACCTCAGATGTGTTGGCTTTAGGACCTGTGAGATAGAACTTTTGAAGTCTCCTGAGTTGGTACTCAGAGACGAGGACAAACGTATTGTTGGCACTGACTGCAGGACCGATTGCCGAAGCCAGTCCTGCTAGCAAAACTGTGACTTGTTTGGTCCTCGGATTGTATTTCAGTAGCCTTCCGGTTGATTCTGGCTAAAAAATTTGGCTGTGAAATGTTTCTGCACATGAAAATGAAGGTATTATTGTCACTAGTATGAGTGTCTTCCCTACAAACATTGAAAATTTTCACTTTTAAATATTTTCTGCTGAAACAAACATAGGATTATTGATAATCAGTTAGTGGTTGGGTAGAAGTGAAAAGAGGTAGAAAGGTACCTTAGCTCGTAAGTTTCACTAGTGTCTGAGAAAAAAAAACCATACCATTGGGTTGGTTACCACTGAGGAAGCGAAAGGGAATGCCTTCTGCTGCAGTGGCAAGTACGGTTCCTAGGCCTCCTCTAAACCCAACCACTTGGAGCCCAAAATATGCATCAACTATGTAGAGCTCTCCTGTTGCATAGTTGAAACTAAGACCTGGGGGTCTCCTGCATATGGGTCCCAAATCCGGGTCAGTTGTGCCATCACAAAGTTCTTTGGTCCTAAAAAAACCATAGAGTTAGAAAGGGTGGGACAATTTTGCATCATGGAAGTGAGTGCTAAATGCGTAACATAAATGTTTTACTATGCCAGAGTGTTCTAGACATTAGAGGACAGTCTCAGTGCACAAGACACCGGTCATTGTGAGTTTGGGAGGTCAAATGTACGTGGTGGTGTTATTTTTGTATGCGGAGCAGTTGATTTTGTGATTTGAAACCATGATCAAGGTTTCATATATGAACTATGCGATATGTTTCAATTGATACGTATTGGGATTTTTGGACTTTTGATATTGATATTCATCGATATATCCAATACGAAGGGTATTAGAAAAATTACTCATCTTGAAAAATTACCTTGCATATGAAGTGTATAAAGTCTAGTTAAATCCGATTCACACATTTTATGGTTTTTTTTTGGGTTTGTTTTTGAATATGTAGTATTATTATGGAGATATAAGAGCTTTATAAAATAAGTCTACCATGATAAAAATACATATACCTTTTTGGTGAAGTGGTTGCAAATTCAACAAAACCAAAGCCAAGACCTAGCCATTTGAGAATCCTACCATCAGCAACACCAACATAGGGTCCTCCACCAAGGAAGTTGAAGGCAACAGACTCTGGACCTGTCATATTTGGTGGCAGTTGGATCATGCTAAATGATGAATAATTGCTAGCACACAAATTCCAACCAACCAACCCCATAGGGAAAGTGAAGAGAAGAAGATGATGAATATAGAGTGCATGGTCACTCTTTCAATGTACAATCTTCATAGTATTGAATTTGAGAGAGAGCGAGAGAGAGAGAGAAGGAGCCAAATCAATCTATATTTATAGCTGTAGTCACTCCAACTTCCTCCCCTGTTTGGTGCAATTTATGAGTCTAGTTTATTCTTATTTTTAAAATTTGTGTCTGAATGTCTAGTGTAACTTTTGTCTATAGTTTATGAGACAAAAATAACTTAATAACCTATAAAAATTTGATTATTGAGAAGGAAGAAAATGATACTTTTAACTTTTAGTTTGTAAGAAGCTACACTATTCCAAATATAAGTTGTTTGAATTTTAAATTTGTTACTTTTTTTGTACCCTCCATAGATTCAAGATCTAAACCTACTTTTGCTTATAATTTATGAGATAGAAATAACTTGAAAAGTTTTGATTATTGAGAAGGAAATGAGAACTTTTAACCTCTACTTTTTACTTAACTTTGAGCTTGTAAGAAACTGCACCATTCTAAGCATAAGTTGTGTTTGAATTTTAAATCGGTCACATTTTGTTTCTTTTCTCTTCATAGATTCAAGATTTACGGAGAAAATTTGCAGTAAAAGAAAGTGGCTACTATACACATTTCAAAAGAGTGCATATGATATTGAATCAAAAAAAAAAAAAAAGAGTGCATATGATATGCATTCAAAATTTTAGCCACAATGGTTCATATCATAACTTGACTGATTTATGTTGTAACCAAAATCAAGTAACTATATGTAAATAAAATTTTTGTATATATTTTATTATACAAAGTGATGTGATTTCTTACCGTCTTTTTGTTTTTAATAAAAATACACATTGTTATTTTTATAATTTTTAAAGTACCATTGAAATATCATTTTGGATGTGATTTTTGTATTAATTTTTCTATATACAAATCAAAAGGAAAGATTATATGGTACATTCCTCTCAAAAGGTGTAGATTATATGCATCTTATAACTAAAAAAGAAAATGACAAAATTTCATATTTTTTGAGTCATAATTTAAATAAATAAAAAATTCATAATTAAATATTATATGAGGCATAATTAAAATAATATTATAACTAAAAAAAAAATTACATAATTAGAATATGAAGTGTGTATTGGTAAAATTCTCCACAAATCATTCATCACAAAGTCTCATACTAAAATCACCACAAATACCTCTGAAAGCTGAAGTAACGGTTTTGTTTGGTTGAATAGAAAATAAGAGGCCGCGAACCGATTATTGGATCTGTTTTTTGTCATCTCCATGCACTTTACGACTGTCCTTTTTCCTCCTTTTCTATTTCATTTTCATTAAATTAAGCCTTTTTTACACACTAAAAAAAGTCCATGCATCATCGATCCCTTTTTCTTTAGGCCCTTTGTGACAACCTACTTGGGGCATTTGGTTTGCTTTTTGGAAGATAGTTTAGTTTTTTTCTTTTATTTTATTTTTTATATAGTAATTTTTCTTTCATATTTTGATTATTTTTTCTTTTTTTTCTTTTAGATATTATTATTTTTTTACTTTTTAAATATACCTGATCTAAATGCATTTTAAAAAGTTAATAACACTATAAATTCAAAAATTTTATTCAAAAATATCAATATATGTAATACAGAGTCATTCTATAAAATAGACCCCACATTAAAATTTCAACTTGATTCACCCGAAAAAAATCAAAATTTTAATCAATCTCAGCTGATTGGCTCAATTTCATTTTGTTATAATTAAATTTATTGGATGGGTAGCCTTAGCTGAGCTTGAGACTTTCATATTAATATTTGTATTGCTGCTGCCCCCTAAATTCAAGCTGTGGTCCATACTCAGGCACAACAAAGAACAAGCTAAGACAGGTGTAATTAAATTAAAATGCCTATCCCATAACTTGTCACCATAACCAAACAGACACCAAACTGCCATAAGAGGGGAATTGAAAACCTTCTTAACTCAAATTAGGGCAAATCCTGCACAGAGCCACTTCCAGATTTAGAGGTGGCCAAAAGATAATATGCAGAAGAGGCAGCAAAACTCGCAAGCACAAAAGCATTTGCCAACACAAGGAAATTCTTCAAGAGTAATCTATGAAGCAGCAGATTAATGCCCTTCGAAGAACATTTGAATGTCATTTGCAGATGGGTATACTCATTGTTATTAATTAGTGATCATATCTCTCTCAATGAAATAACACAAAAAAAATGGAAAACGTTCATCAAAGATCCTCAATGTTAAGCTTTCTAATGAGATTTAAGTCCTGGGTACAAAAATTTGACTATTGCCTTTGATTTTGGCTTAATAACCTAGAAATATAGGTTTGTGAGTATTTGCTAACATGAGGGCCAACAAATTTCTTTCTGACAGATGTACTTCTCTGCAAATCCAATCAAAAAGAACCCATATGTGGAAGTACCACTCGTCCAATGTACCTGCAATTCAAAAATCAAAACAATGGAGGCTGGCATTTTGTAATGATAGTAACACAATTCACACATTGCATAAATAACTGGGAATGAGAACTTAGACCAATAATAATAATAAAAGAATTAGATTAAAAAATAAAATTCCATTCTAAAAAACACGGATACTTCTAAGAAGGTTCCAACACTTGTCAGACATTCCAAACATGTCTTATTTCTTTTAAGTTTTTTTAGGATCAGACATGCTTCAAAAAAGAAAAAGAAAAAAAAAAGTGGACACACATTGCAAATTTGAAGAAATATAACTTGGGAGCTATTGATAAAATAAAAACAATGTGTACAGATATCTATTTATTCTTTCCTTTTTACTTTTAAGAATTCTTAAGCCCAAACTTCCAATTTGTTTATAAACAAAACTGTCTAACATTGATATAAGGGCTTTTTGGTCACAGTTCTTTCCATTGTGTAGAAACTCAAGGTCCGGTGAAATGATGAGAACAGCAGACACCGGCCGTTACTCACTGAAACTACAATATGAATGAGTTCCAAGAAAGCGGCCATTCATGTCAGGAATAGAGGTTGTTGAACATCATCAGAATTCTTTGCAACACGAGCATTCAGATAACAACAAACACTTACCATCCAAGCAAGCAGGATTACTTTGGTCAAAGCCCACTAAGACACCACAGCTTTTGGTGTTCTATGATTCACCTCCAAATAATGAGTAAAAATGATTTCTTACTATTTTGATTTAAAAAAATATAAATGTATTTGTACTTATTTTCATATAAATAAAATTTCATATTTATTTGTAGCCGTGCCGTGCTGTGCCATGTCTTTTTTCATAAAATTTCTATATCAGTGTGTCCATATCATGTCATAACATTTGTCATGTCGAAAGCTATGCTTCTTGAGTTGCATTTATAAAATGAGAGGGACTTACATTTGATATAATGAGACTGACCCCTACAAGAAACTCTCGATGTTAAGTTCCACAAAGGAGCATGGATCAGGAATACCAAAGTTGTTCAGCACCTGAAAACAACAACAAAGAAGATTATGTAGCAAGATTGCCCTTGTAAACTAACTACAAATTAACTAAATTGTTTTCAAATTTTAAGTAAATAAATAAAGTTGATTGTATCATCTTGGTCACAGTACAAGAATGCAAACAGCATAGATGCTAACACAAGAATGCCCATAAGATATTAATAGCCATTAAAATTTGCAAGATATGAAGGGTCAGTAATACATGCATGCACGCACCAGAAATGCTGTTTAATGCAGAAATATGTAAATTACCCCGGAAAAATCACCTCCGATTCAATATCATCACCATCACCTACTGTTTCCAAATAAGTTCTCCACATTCCATCATTCATCAATTCTACAACACAAATATTATATATACACACACAAAAGAGGCCAACTAGCATCTTTGAAGGGACTTTCAAAAATCACCTCCAATTCAATATCATCACCATCACCTACTGTTTCCAAATAAGTTCTCCACATTCCATCATTCATCAATTCTACAACACAAATATTATATATACACACACAAAAGAGGCCAACTAGCATCTTTGAAGGGACTTTCAGCCAGGGAAGGAGCTGATTTCAATTTGCAATGATTTCAATGGTTGTGAAGGTGGTGGCAGACAACAAACAGTGGAGTTGATGTGATAGGTGATTATGAGTCCAAAGGTATGCTTATATACCCTTTCCTCGGGTTTGGGCAAGAGAGGGGGAAGTGGATCTACAAAGGAGAGGAAACCTTAGTTTCAAATTTAAAAGGTTCATTAATTCACATAGTAAGATTAAAGAATTAAAAAGAAGGAAATATGCTTCAATGAGAAAAGTATCTCTTCATGTGGGAACTATTTCCCATCCATTTTGCTCAAAAAACACTAAACTAAATCTCACAAGAAAAACAAACTTCTTGCACACACATCAAAATATAGATCATTATGATAAAGGCATGCTTTTCAACCTATTCCTCCTAAAGGATATTATAACAGCAAGAAAGCAAAACTATCTTACAGCAACTAATCCACGTTGTCTAATATCTAAAATAAGTTTTCTTGAGCAATATTTTACATACCTCTGGATGCACAATACCAAAAGCACCTATGCACTTCCCTTTGAAAATAATTCTAGCTTGTCTACCAGGAAGAAACTCAGATTCCTACAGTACATATCAAGAGAATGGTAAGACATTACAAATATTCCCTAGGTCAATTTTAAAAAAGAATGCATATAAGAGGTAAGACTTACATCTGCACGTTCAATATAGTAGCCTGCATTATCCCCAGGTTTTACAAATGGTGTCCCAATTACTTCCATGATTCTGTCGACCAGGCCGTGAATAAGCTGCGAAGCCAAAGTTGAAAATTAATTTTGCCAAATAAGTTGATCAGATCCCACTCAAATAATTTTCTTAAAACTACATGAAAAAGAAAAGGCGGAAAAGATGACATCTTCTATGGGTTTGTTTTTTTTTTAAAATAGCAGATGCATGGAAACAAGTGGCAGCACTTGTTACCGTAGAAAATATCAGTAGATTCAAAGCAGCATAAAGTTCCAATTGCATGTGAATAACAGTAATCACTCGCAACATTTAAGATAAGAGCAGTGATATGAAAAATGCTTGAAGACTCAGAAATTAGTTATCTATAATTAATAGTACATGTGGCAAACAAGACAGTAACCAATGTTTTGTTTACACCCAAACAGCCCTAGATGCACTTTGTTTTAGCCAAAAGGCACATCACTGCACACCTCTAATTGGATATTCATGGAATATTAGAGATCTCCATCCATTTCCAGCAAATTAAGACATCTTGCCCACTGGACGAAAGTTGGCTATTTATCCAGTAAGCACTTTTTTTTAATTTTCTTATTTATAAATAAATCCAGTAAGCACTTAATCCAATTAAACAGTTGTAGGATTTTTTTGTAATTGTGATATTGATCCTTGCTGAAGAGCATACAGGTAAACTAAATACCTCTTTTAATTAAATCTTATAGTGACTATACATTTTTGTTTTCTCATTGACTCATGTCTCTTCTACTGTAACTGCTAAGCATTTCCCCCCACTAGCAAGTACCTCTTTCACAGTTTCCCAGGCAAACAGTTGTCAACCCAAGTAACAAATTCACTATGCATGGCCATCATCTATTATGAATAAATCTTCTCAAGTTTGAAGGGTTATTATGTTTAACTTTTTTCATTTCTTACCTTCAGCAGCACTAAATGGTATCTCGATTGCACAAATTCCTAATCATGTCAGCAGTAAAATTGGTTTTCATCAGTCAACAATCCACCATTACATTGCAGGGAAGCTATAAATAACTTATTCCCTACTAAGTCCTTTTCTTGATGTGTCGTTCCTAGTTTTGACATCCATCTTAACACCCATACCTTAGCTACACAGATTGCAATAGCATCTCTACCATTAGCTCAGAAAAAGAAAGAAAAAAAATTCCATAAATTATTGATTTTTTTTTTTTTGATCGGCAAATGTTAGTTGTTAGTTGTTAGATTAGTACTTATGGGAGAAATTCTCCCCACCCTTGGCGAAGCACCTAAATGCTTGCACTCCCTTAATTCAACCCCCCTAAGGGGAATTGAACCCATGATCTCCTTGGCACTAAGCCCTAAGGAAGGCATAGTGGCCAACAAGGCTAGGCCTAGTTGGTTGATGGTATCATTGCCATCAATTATTGATGGGTATCATTGCCATCAATATAATTTTTCCTTTAGTAAAGATAGAGCAGTCAAGAGGGAAATCTATTGATCCATTAAACGTAAACTATAGAAGCTAACAAATTCAATCAAATTTTCACACAATAAGCAAGAGGAAAAAAAACTGAAATAATAGGAAATGGAGTTGCATAAAATTTACCCTTCTCATAACTGATTTTCCACAAAAAAAAAAATAGTATTCCAAAAATGAAGATTAGACAAAAGCATCACAGAAATTAATACCTCAAATCCTGAGTTAGAACCACAATACAAAGCAGCAAGTTGGCGACGATTTGTGGCACCAACATCTTTTGTCTCATCCAACAGGGTTATATCACCCACTTCAAATATCTAGGACCAAACCTTATGTTAGAAAAACTTCAACACATAAATACATAATAAATGAGGGGGAAAGAAGTAAGGATATTCTTGCAAAGAAGGAAAGATAGAAAATCTTAAGCCATTAAACCACCAAAAGTTTCTAATAAAAATCACTGTTAGAACTATACATTATTGTGACACTAAAGCACATACTATGGACAAAATTCTCACAATTGAGCTTTAACATCAACATTTCCTTAAAATGAATCACTACTACAAATCTAGTTCTATTCAAAATTAAAAAATGGACACTACTACAATGTAGTCCGATTCAAAATTAATAAATCAAACCATTTTGAGTAACAAATTAAATGCATGCACCAGAAAAATGCATAATACAGATACAGTTCAATCGATTTTGTTCCGTTAGGGATGGGACCCTGCTCCACTGGAGCTGGCAACAAACCACAGCACCACTTCTTCTCCAAGGAAGATCTAAATGTGGTGCTGTGGTTTAGATCAAGTATTGAGATATTTCCTGGAAAAAATGTGCTGTTGTGGTTTGTTGCCAACCACAGTGGAGGGACTCTACACAGACAAAGTCCTTATTTATTAACGAACCACCTAAATTTCTAAATTACAGTAACTACTAGCAACCCCAAATAAATGGTTTTCAGAGTTGTGCTTGAGTCTATAGCACATTCACTCTTCTAGTACTATTAGAAATGAAAATAAAAAATAAAAAGTTCATTGCAGTAACAAATCGTAAGAAACTCTTATAAAAGATAACATTTATCTGAATGCAAAATGCAACATTTTCACTATGGAAAAAATAGCTCCAAAATTAACAATCTCGTAAACTTGATCTTTCCATTTCCACCTCCATGGTAAAAGTTCATAAAATCCTCTAATCACAAGACAAAGAGAATGACTCCTCAATAGACACAATATCCTTCCCTATTTAAAGATTTTGAAATATACCTTTATGGGCTTTGGATGATCTTTATTGTGCCCCACGGTTTTCAATACACCAGGCATAAGACTGGTCCGTACAACCTGTAGAACGCATTGAGTCATTCTAGTTACTGAACTTGTAGAAGTGTAACTTTTTTAGGGATAAGCACTTTTAGATGTATAACATTAGTATGGCATTTGATTAATTTACCATGGTAGCAAATTAAATCAAGGAAACATTTAATTTACCAAGAGACTACTACATAAGAAATTTGCAACACACATCATTTCAAGACCATCACACAAAAGGGACTGGACATATAACTGATAGCCAGAAACACTAACAACACTAAAACGCAGGTGTGCAAGTAGAAAGTCCAAGAGAGAGAGACAAGGCAACAAGATACCTCTCTTCGATTTTTTAAAATACTTAAAAACCCAATTAACCAAGATGAAAGGCATTGCTGGTCATATTAGCTATTGGGGATGCAAATATTCTCAAACAAACCCTCAAGCTCCAACCTGTAATTTTTTGTCAAGTTCAAAACGCAGCTAAGGATCAATTTTCTGTTGTCAGGTGTCATATATTTCAGTAATTACTTGGCTCATTTAATTACATATAAGAAGGTCCTTTCCACAAGATTTTCCAACTTTCCTCATTAGTTACAGTAACAGATAGTCTACTATATAACACAAAAAAACAGAATAGTGGGATTCCAACTGAAAATAAAAAATATATAAAGTTTTCTGTAGAAAAAAAAAAATATGCAGGCCCACCTTCCCGTCAACAAATTTGTAGAAAAGAGAACAATTTGTTCTTCAAAGAAACGGGTCATCAAGGAATCTTTGGATACGTTCCATATGGCAAATTCTGTTCATACCTTCATCGCAATGCAAGATATTAATCATTCACAAAATTCATTACCTAGCTTCATACGTCCAAACAATTAGATTGGTGAAATGGTCTGAATTTCATGTGGAGTTGGGTGTGCACAGCAAAGCAGCCTGCTTAAAAACACTAGTGTTGGCTTGGTATTCAATCTTTGAACCAAACTACATATGCATGTGTACTGAATGTTTTTACACATCACAAACCTTCAAACAACACAAAAAGTAATCTCTTCCACAATCCCACCCTTGAACCCCTTCCACTATAACAAAAAATAAAAAATAAAATATATTGCTTTGCAGATACGGGGTCCCCCAGTTGGGTTGGGTCTTTCTAATATATGCACTAGACATACTAAGCATTCAAAAGTCATCACCAAATATAAAATAATTATTCACTGGGTCAGCATAGAAATTGATAAAACAACAGATGGAAGAAATTGTTACATCTCAATAGTGGACTCTCACATCAAGGTATCAACAAAGCAAGAAGTGAAAGGATAATAAAGGAAAAGTAACAAGAAGGATATAAAAAGAAAGGCAAAGCAATTGAATCAAGCATGAAATTCCCAAATAACAAAAAATTTTCTTCTTCAATTAATAAAAGTCAGAGGTTCATATATTTACTGAAAAAGTGGAAGACATAACAATTACATAATAACTTGACTTCATTCCACATAATAACGAAGCAGCAAACAAACCTCAAAATCAGAGGAACGGGGATTTCCAATGATCACTGCAGTTGATTTGTCATCCTTACGGTCATCGCATGGAGAAATTTTCTTTGTAAGAGCAGAGCACCCATGTTAAAACCTCTGTAAACCCGCTCATTGCAATCTGAAAACAAAAAACAAGAAGTTATCAGATTGTAGATTTTCATTTAAAGCCATATAACAATAGAATTACATTTATAACAATAGAATTACATTTATCACTATAATGAAATTTCTTCAGATGACAACAAAAAACTAATAGCAAATTGGCAAAGCTTATCATCATCTTTAAAGGGGAAATACAGCATAACTGATTTTCTTTACACAAGCATAATGTAGCAAACCCTAGGATATCTACAAGCAAAGATTTCCATCTTTCATGAAATTCAGAGACCACTGAACCTAAGTACACAATTGGTTCACATAATAAAACAAACAAAGAATGAATTAAAAATAAGCATAAAGTATACATGCACATATATGAAGAGTTGGATATCATCTATGCGGGTTAAGTGACTTAGAATACAAATTGAGACCCTTAGAAGTTGGGACATAAAATTATGATAGATGAAAAGAATAATAACAATGATGGAATTTGGAGCTTCATCATTGTACATATTGCCAAGAAAAGAAGATCAACAACTGAGATGTCCCTAGCATCATTAGAAGCATATTATTAATCATTCAAAAACTCCTGTTATTCATTTATAATTAGCAGCCTGACCCGCACCCATTCAAGAAACAAAAAAAACTCAATATAATGCAATCACCTAATAATTGTAAGGGTAAAACAACACAAAGCTAACTGCTGTAGAAGAAATTGATATATAAAAAATAAAAATAAAAATAAAAATAAAAGACAAGAATCATAAACAGTAGCATCACCCTTTGTAGGCACAAACAATAGAAGTGTCCCTATAACATAACTGTAAAAGAACCTAAAAAACAGGCACAGACAATACCTCTGATCTAATGAGATCACTAAACTGGTTCAAAGGCAAAGGCTTCAGAGATGCAGGTATCCTCTTTGGAATTTCATTATAGCCAAAAGCAATAGCAACATCCTTTCAAAGAAAGAACAAGCTGCGTGAGGAACAATCCACGTGATGATGCTCTGCCTGCTTTTGTTACGTAAAATATGAATATTCATACCTCAGCAACATCACACGGATGAAGAATATCACTTCTGGTAGGAGGTACAGAAACAATGAAAGTGGACCGTTTGTCTCCTGAGTCAGACTTCTTGGCATGCAATTGCATTTTATTCAACAAACCAGCAACCTGAAGGCAGAAAGAGGTCATGTGAATACATCATTTGTTTTCTAGCCAAACTGCATTTCTTGTCATGGAACATAAATAGAAACTAAAAGTTTTTTTTATCGGAAGTATAGAAACTAGAAGTCTCTAAATGGGATATAATAAACCTTAAATAATAATTAACACAACAGAATATACAACAAAGCAACAAATAATAGACTGGTCAGGTATTAAAACAAAGCAACAAAGAATCCACATCTCAAGTATCAATTTGATACAAAAAAATCAAAGAAATAGAAGCAATCAAACTAACAAGGGAACTGCTTCAGCCGCAGTACAACTGTAATGACATGTCAATCCTCCAATAAATGGAAAAGTTAAAGCTTCTAAATGAATCAAGTAGGAAGATATAAAATATAATAATGGGCAGAAAATGTAGTACCTCATTTGCATCCAAGGGAACTCCGACTATTTCAGTGACGTAAGATAGAGGCACTTCCATATGGTAGAGTGATAAATCAGGGCAAACACTAGATTTCCCATCAGAATAAATTACTTCAACTGGTTCAACCTCAAACTTTCTTTCGCAGTACACTGAAAACATAGTTACCTTGAAAAATAAAAGAAAAATTATATCACCCAGCTGTTGACACCAAGTAAAAGTGACAAACAAATGTAATTGAAACTTTTAAGTCTTACCATTGTGTTTAAAACAATCTTAGCCTTTGTCAAATCAGTGGCTGTGCATTCAATGAAAATATTCTTTGTCTTCAAAGTAATGGCAGAATGAGCACCGTTGATGATTGGAGGCAATGACAGAACAGTTCTGCAGAGAAGAAGAGATCTTTTCAAGAATAGGAACCAAAAACATAATAAAATGAATTCTGAAATAGAACTTCACATAGCTTAATACAAATTAGAAGGGTTGGGGTTATCTTTAAAGCAGATTGCATATGCCAGCCACAATCAAGCTCAAAATCTTTAAAGCAAACGAAGAACCATCCACCAAATATTGTATGTAGCAATTAATTGGAAAGGGAAAAAATGTATAGTAGACATTAACAGCATCAATAACATGGCGGTAAGAAAGCTCAGAATCCTTAAGGTGAAACAGGTGTAATCAAGAAACCAAAATACCTGTTGCGATCATACAAAACAGGATACACTGGTGAATTCTCAATTATGTGCAGGAACTTCTTCAGCTTCAAATCTGACTGCCAAATATAGATGGTATGTGTCAAGGTAATGTGAAAATGTCTTCAAGATCTATTATAAAACTAAGTACATAAATACTATCAAAGATCAATATAAGAATCCTGCACAATACCACATTATCATAATCTAAAGAGAAAAATCGTAGGCTCATCATTTCAAATCACAAAAGAATCATAAATTTGGACTCACTTTGTAAAACTCCATCAGCTTATCAGCCCTGAAGTTTTTCACCTATATAAAAACCAGAAGCATAACTCAATTTTAGCGGCTTCGAACTATTTACTGAGAAAAATATATTAAAAGAAAGAAGACAAAGAACAGAAACATGAAAACTCGCAACAATAAAAATATCCAAGAAAGGCAGCAGCCCTCATTCTAATTGTAACAAAGAAATATAGAACAAAGTTATAAAAACATAAAATTTAGTGGCAGGTGAAATATGAGTAGTAGCCAGTAAGTTGCTTACTATGACACCAAACTACCCTTGATTCCCAAAACTTAATAAACGTCAACAAATCAGTCCAACAGCATTCCAACTATATATATATATATGTATGTATGTATAATACGACTTAAATTGACCCTAAACAAGTTAATCAAACATCCAAATTGTTCTCCATGGAAAATTTCATATTTGTCCCTCTTTTCCTTTCCAAGCTCTGCATCATGACAGTGCTCATGCTTTGTTGGAAGATGAGCTTTATTTCAAATATTTGTATACCAAACAGCAAGATTAAAAAATAGAACTGCTTACCTGTTTCAGTGGCACAAAGTTTATGTCTGATGGTGGCAGAGCCTGGGAACAAGAAGCAGCATGTAAGTAATAATGTGCATCTTATTAAATCTTGCTTAAATTTCAATCATTGGAAAGAAGCTAGTATAAGCATAAAAATGCATTCGCTCCTGCCAAATCAACATATCAATGACCTAGAGACATGATCTAATATTGCTACCATCACAAATAACAGTTAGATATCATGTCCATCCCCAAAAAAATTGCCACGCAGCACAAAGGAAATGAATATTACATTGAAAGATTGTGTAGAAAATAATAAGTGCGGGAACAGCATACCTCATATGTGAAAGGACCTTCTATTGTATCCAAGTCATGAGTTCCAATTGCAACCAGGGCTCTTCGCCTAAAACAATAAGGTGATTGAGGGATCTTAACTGAAAATATTCATAACACATGATTTTTTCCAAGTTGGTATCAACCCATTTCTACATATATCGTACAAATCATTTATTTTTTCTTCGAAAATATTATCTAGCTATTTAAGATTTAAATCTTAACCAGTCATAAAATGTAATCTCTCCTAAGATTTAGATTTCTCACAGAACCAAAAACCATATCATGCAAATCAGACGAATAACATTGGCAAACAACGAACGGGCCCAAATTGCTTTATGTGATTCAAACCACACGTGTAATATGTCACCTGCATATATTTTGATGAAGCCTATCTTGAAGATCTATGAAGCTGTTATATCTTGCTTCATCAAAAGTTACACCTCTTAAAACAGCACAAACAACAAAAGGCCGAATCAAAGATGTCTGCAAAAAAAAATATACATCCATATATATATATATATATATAATCAATCAAATACAACAAATAATCATTATCCATAAACTGTCCTTCGAAACAAAAACAGACAGCAACAATTGCATTACGCAATATGTACCTCCGGTTTGACATGCATTTTAAGCATGGATTCACTCCTAATATTTGCCACTGTATAAGAAGGAATTGGATCGAGCCCAATAAATATGCGCAGAGATTGAGCAAGCCCTTCCAAGCAAAGCAAATCATATCTATGTATCAACGAAGCAACATGATTGTAGTTAATTTCAGATTTATAAATTCTTAACAAGCAAATTCTGCATGCAACATAAACATACACAGTTTTACACACCACTCTGTTTGGTTTTGATGTTTGTTTTGATTTTTACTTCTTACATCCACTTAATCTAGATACATTCAAAAAATATATAATTTGTGTAAACATCTTTCAAAATTTCATTACATTTTTGTATTTTGTTGTATTCAATGAATTTTTATTTTATTTTTTATTTGCACAAACTTCATATTTTTTTTTAATTGTACCTAAATATTGTGGATGTAAAAAGTTGAAAATAATTGATTAAAGTGTTACAAAAAAAATAATAAAAACGAAAAAATGCAAATTGAAAACTCAGAAAACTGTTTTTTAAAAATCAAAACCAAATCAAACTTTTCAAAAAATCTCAAAATACCGAATTAATTGAACCGTACCTATTAGCTGCAACCTCGATTTTGTAGATAATTTCATCATCTTCAGTTACTTCTTCTTCCAAGTGCCTCTCTTTACTGATAATTGCTTTCTCTGTTGTCTGTGTTCAATGTTTTCAAAGTTCACATCAATCCCAAAATTCTTTAGCAATGTATATGACGAAAGAAAAATATATTTTGTAAACACTTACCACATCATCGAGCTCAATACCGAATTTGAAGCACAAATCTTCGAATTCTTCTTGTGCTGAAACTCGAGTAAACAAGTTGTGAACTTGATGAATTGAAAATCGATTACACTAAGAAGAAAAGCGATTAAAGAACTTACTGTATGTACAGCCTAGGGCTTCGAAGAGACGATCTCTTCCAACGCTAACAGTAGGCATGGCGAGATCGAAAGAAATGCGGCGTTCTGCAAAACCCTAGTCCCTGTTTTTGTATGCGCTTCTGTTCTGTAGGACAGTCTCTGCGAGGGTGATAGATAGAGAGATAGACAACGGTTTGGGCCTTGGGAACCGATCTGCCAAAGCCAAACAGAAAGATTGGCTATAATCGAATTAAAAAAACAAATCAAAACTTTCTCAATTTAGGGCAGCCTTAAACCCCCTGCAGCTCGGAGTGGACTCGGTCCGTTCAGACTCAACTCGAGACATTGGATTTAGGTTTGGGTTATTATTTTGAAGCTCGGCCTAACGTGTGAGTCTAACTCATGACCCGACCCACCACTCAAGCCCCACTCAAAAGTTTGTCCCGCCGTTTGAAACTCAATGTTATTTTTAATGAAAAATAATAAAATTTTGATAAAAAATAAAAATAAAAAAGTTTGTTTAGACCTATCCAAGCCCGCACAAAGCTCGAGCTGAGGCTGAGGCTGAGGCCGAGGCCCAACCCACTAGCCCGCCCAAAGTCCGAATACCCTTGGGCTTAGGCTTGGGCTTAGGTCTAGTTTTCTGGCCCGTAGACCGTCCTGGCCCTGCCCGATTTTTGGCGGGAGCCCACAAGGCCCGATATGGGCTGGGCCCAGGCAAAAATTACACCCTTACATACAAGTCCTAACTTATAAATTTACTAGTGTATGGTCGTGCCTGAAGGCATAATGAGATTAAAATATAAATCAAAATAAAACTATTAAAACATAATGTTAAGATTTTCTTTTTCAGTGGTGGTGGACAGTCACAAAGCGGAGGTGGCGATGAGTCCTTTAATTCAACACCCATTTCAAAAACTTTTTCAAATTTTCTTAAGTTTTGTGAGTAAATTTTAATTTCTACTATAATGCTATTATACGTATTAAAAATTCAACTCATTAAATTTATTTAAATTTTTATTAAAAAATTAAATGTTAGTATTTTATGATGAAATGTCTTCAAATTATTCTAATATCAACGTTAATATTTTTTATTAAAATTATTAATTTTATTGAATTTATATTAAAAATAATACATGATATAGCGGTTTGGTTTGATTTTTTAAATTATTTTTTGATTTTTTTGAAAAAATAGAAATTAATTTGACAAAAATAAATTGTTTGGTTTGATTTTTCAAAATTTGTTTTAAAGGTATTTTCATTTATTTTATTGGATTTTTCTTTTTTTGCATTTTACTCATTTTTTTGTACTTTTTAAATGCACCTAATCTAAATATATTTGAAAAGTAAAACAAATTGACTAAAATATTAAACAATTCTAACAATAAAAAAAATTCAAACAAAAATCTGTGCATTTTTATTTGGATTTTTGTTTTTTTTAATGATTTTTTTTCGTATTTTACTTTTTAAATGCATCTAATTTTGATATATCTAAAAAGTACCCAAAAAAATGACTAAAATATGGAGGACAAAAAATTGAGTAATAACAAACGAAAACCAGTCTAAAAATAATCTCTGAAAAATTAGACCAAACAAATATATTTTCAACACCCATTTCGAAAACTATTTCAAAATCATAAAAAATCAACACTCATTTTCCATTAAGGAATTAAATCCATTTCATAAATCAAACTAAAATCAAAACCCATTTTATGAAGATCAAATATTATTTCAGATCCAAAACTTTTTAAAAAATTAAATCCAAACCGTACATTAAAAAAAAACTATATAAATAAAGAACAAACAGAACTTTAAAAAAAATTTTAAAAAAAAACACATCTTAAGGTTAGAAACACACAACCCAAAAAGCCTCTGATGCCACTCATTCTCTCTCACCAAAAGTCATCATCATCATAAAAAAAAACCCCCAAATACATCTGTCTCGTCGTCGTCATCAAGAGTTTATAATGTTTGTATATACTTGCAATTGATGCTGCTTCCTCGTCCTCAAGAGTTGCAGCAAAACCGTTGATATCTCGAGAGTAAGAGTAAAATATTGCATATTTGGCCTTCTCACTACTGCACCAACATTATAAGGGGATGTTTAGTTTTTTTTTTAATTATTTTATAAATATATATATATATTTATTTATTTATTTTTGTTTTTAGTGAATTTTTTTTTTCATATATTTTAAAAAGTTTTAAATTTTTAGATTTTACTTATTGAGATGAACTGAAATTTTTTTAAAAATTCAGAAAATACAATTAATTATTTTGGCATTTTCAAATTTTTTTAATTTAAAAATTCATCTACACAAGATTGACCAAAAAGATTTTTTTTAAAAAATTACGTAATTAAGAATTCATTAAAAATAAAAATAAAGAATTCAAAAAAAAAATTATAAGTTTTTTTTAGGGTGATGGTTGAGACCCCCTCCAATCACCACTCCCCACACGCACGTGGTGCGTGGTGATTGGAGGAGAAGGGAGAAAAAAAAAAAGTGACCAATCAGGTGAAAATGGAGTCAAGGAGTGGGAAAAAAATGGGGTCCAAGTCATTATTGTTTTTTTTATTATTTTTAAATTTGAAAAAAAAAAATGTGACTTGTATAGTTGTTCCCGTATACAGAAGTAGAGATATAATATACCAAATTTCATACCTTCCCGAGAATGATGCAAGAAACTGGCAATGTGAATCTTTCACCTTGCTAACAGTAGCCTTTGCATCTTCTAGTCCATGTGAATGCACTCCCATGTACACTATATATGACTATATTTGATATGTTAATAAGCATCAATTAGATGGAAAAAAGAAGGGGGAAAAAAAAACTGTCCATAAATTGGATATTAAAAGAAACAATAAAAAATATAATTATGGGATATACATTGAATTGCGAGGTAAAATTTTTCAACCATACTGGGTTTCAAAATTTAGAGGAAGCCACATTATTAGTTTGACTGCAAAAGCCGGCGTTTGGAAGAAAAGAATGAATAGACCAAGGAAGGGTGAGAGTTTTGAAAATGACATTTTTGGTTTCTCCTAATCCAAAATTCCTTTTTTGTAGGGAGTGGATGGGTGTGTTTTGAAATTTAAAATGTAGAAAGGTGGTGCGACAGATAAGATAAGGATGGGTGGTTGCAAAGTTTGTGGCACTTGGGCGGAAAATTCACGTAGGGTGAAAGAGAAGGTTTTCATCTCAGCTGTCCATCTAAATATAGAAATGAATCAGGATCATTAAAATGTCCTAGTAGGACAATTATTTCTAACATATTTTCAAAAACCTAGACAATTGTCTCTAATATATTTCCAAAAACCTTTGTGCCTTATTATATAGATATTTCATTAAGTTTTACTTGAGATTTTTTTGAATTTTCAAGTCTCATTAAATTTTTAATAATTGAAATTACCCTTCAAACAATAATTATTCATCATTTATAATTATCTATAAATAAATATGATGATTTGACACTTATTTTGTTTTGTAAAACTTTAAAATATCAACTTTCAAATTGAAAAAATTAAAAAAAAAATTATGTTTTTTGAAAAAATTAAAAAAGCTGAATTATTTTTTATGCAAAACTAAAAGTTTTGTGTCTATAAAGGAGCATGATAATGGAACATTGATGTGCAAAATTCGAAAAAAATTAAAATGAAAAAATTGGTAACGTTCTCAGTTTTAAAACTAAAAAAAAAAAACTGATAATATTTTCGGTTTTATTGAATAGTTGAATCAAACCAATAAATACAAGGGTAAAAAGCGTTTAATCTCATACTCTGTTTTTTTTATCAGTTAGTGAAACAATTATCTAAAATATTACTATAAAAAATTGATAATATTCTTAGTTTTAAAATTTGAGAAAAATTGATAATATTTTCAGTTTTACTAAATAGGACTTATTGGTTCAAAAAATCTTAAATAGAATTTTTGGTAAAAAACGTTTAATCTAACACTCTGTTTTTTTTATCAGTTAGTGAAACAATTATCTAAAATATTACTATAAAAAATTGATAATATTCTTAGTTTTAAAATTTGAGAAAAACTGATACTATTTTCAGTTTTACTAAATAGGACTTATTGGTTCAAAAAATCTTAAATATGACATGAGCTACCATAACATTTATAAATAGAATTTTTAGGTAATTAACTCTTAAATTTATAAAATTAAAATTTAATGAATTATTTTGTTACAAAGGTTAAATGCTATTAAAAAAAAATTGTTTGTTTTTTTTGTAAATTTCTCAAAAAATTATAGACTTTGAATTAATCTTTTGATTTGTTTTAATCTAAATTATTTGTTTTTTTTTCTTTAATAAAATTGACAGAAAAAATATGTTTTAGTCATTAAACTCAATAAAATTTTATTTTTTTGTTAAGTATGACTATTAGATATTTTAGTCATTAAGTTCAATGAAAATGATTATTTTGGATTTTTTTGTGCATATACGTTAAGTATTTATTTTGTTCAATGAAAATTATAGACTTTGAGTCTTATTTTTTGTTCAATGAAAATAAATAAAAAATAATAATTTTAAATTAGTCAAATTAAAAATTCAATATTTATTTTGTTACAATAATCAAATCTAACTTTTTATTTTCAAAAAATAATTATAAATTATAAATATAATTATTGATGTTGTTTTTTTTCCTGACGGGAGATAGACCTGGTTGAGTTGAGCTTCCAACACTTTTACTGGTCTTGAAGTCCGTGGAGCACCCCTGCAAAAGGTCTAATGGGGGAGATAGTCCCCCGGCAGACAATCCATCGCTCAAGTTAGAATAGGAGAGATTAACTGTGTAGAGAGAGAGAGAAGGAGAAAGAATGAAGAACATATCATTTGATGTGTCTCGGAAACTTCCTTATATCTTTTGTTCATCATTTCCTTGTTCATTTTTGCTTGTTATGTTGGCCGAAAGCCTACATTCTAGCTTGCGTTGTTCATGATGAGTCTGTATATTCCAACGTGAAGAGGTTGTCGCATTTAATACTGTGAGAGTCTCATTAATAACTGATATGTGGCGCAATAACTTTGCAGGATCTTTATTTACTTACGTGTCTAGGCTCCTGTTTGGCCAAATGTTATTGGTCTTGGTCTAATGTTATTGGGCTTAGATCGTAAGAATGTGGGCTGGGCCCTTGATCCGTAGGTTGGGCCCTCGTGGTTGGGCCAGTCGACATTAGTAGTCCCCCATTTCCGAGTGCAGCTTTAGTCCAATGAAGGGAATAAAAAATGAGTAGAGGGGAAAAAAATAGGGGGTGGTAGGCAACCGCGAGGGTGGCCGAGCGGGAAGGCTGAACGGAAAGGGGGGCCGAGC